TTACACCAGTACACGGCAACAAAATCCTTCTCGTTGAGGAGCCGCTCGAGCTGTTTGGCATTGACTTCCTCGATGACAGGTTCCGCGTCCTTGTGGCCTTTGCCCCGAGGCTCGTCCGATTTCGTCCTTGCGACGGCGTCCACGGTGCCCAGGAGGGAGCATAACACCGCGAGTACACCGAGAAGGACGATCGTCTTCGCGTATCCCGTCGGCATCGTTGGCCCGCAGGTAGTACTCCTCCTTCGTCTCCGCCAGCACCACCACCACCGGCCGAACCGTACCGCCGAAACGTCGTTCGCCGTCGACATCGCCGCACTGACTGGCACACCGGCTATTTTTGATTTTTCGGACAGCGCCGCAGACCACGACGGCCACGCCGCGCCTCGCGATCATCGCCGTTGGTGGTTCGCGCGAGGACCAACGCCGTTTTCATCCCCGAGGCAGCTTCCTGCCGCGGCTCGACTCAGGCAGGACGTTGCTCGACTTTCACGGGTCGATTGCTTGGTATCGGGGATTAACCCTTTGAACTCTGCAGGCTCCAATATTGCACCGGTTATAATATTACATATTTTACTGAATGTTAAAGGAACTACCCTAAAATCATTAGATTTTCCACACATCCGAATTCTGTGCTGAGAAGGAAAATAAAAGATCGAAGAAATGTTATAGCATTTCTCATTTTCCCTAGGAATACTATAAAAATTAGTTGCAGTTGCTGATAGATTACAACACAACCTGGAGTGCTGAAGGTTAACACGTTCGCTACCAGCTCTTATTTCGGTGACCGTTTCCTTGATTATAATATTTTCTTTAATCTAATAAATCTTTTAAACAAAATATTAGGAAACTGGAACGAGTTATTGAGATTCTAAATAGAATGTCGTAGTTTAGAATTTCTGATAATATCCATAGAATTAACACGTTGAATGCGGTGGGGGTTACCGGTGACCCCCAATCGAATCGGATTATTATAATTCACTCAGTTAAACTATGATTATTTGAAAAGATTTCTATATTAAAAATAATGCTAGACATTATTTGCGATGACATTTAGCTAGATGAACATGCAATAATAATAATGCAATTTAATCAAATGATTTAATATTACATCTTTTCGATTTGGCTATTTTACTCTATGAAATCGGGCGGCATTCAACGTGTTAATTTCATTTTCATTACGTGAAATATGGGATTACGACCGTTACAAATATGTCACGCTGGTAGCGAACGTGTTAAAAGAGTTAGGAAGGTATTGGGCACCGGCAGAAGTACGGTCTTCTTGTTAGCAAGGAATCAAGGTCCGATTTCAATCGGTATTTCAATAGTTTAACCCGTTGCACTCTAGAAGTACTTTACTGGAAATACTCAACATTTTCTAATCAGATGCAGACATTTTCGCACGTGTCGAGGAACAGAACTATTTTTTCAATATTTCATATATTGATGCATTACACAAAGTTTGATATTTAATATTAAACTTTACAATTTTGCTGTGTCAAGTCGATTGGCAGCTGAGAGGCGTCACTGGAGTACAAAGGGTTAACACTGAAACTACCGGACGGGTCAAAGTGACCCATTTCTGATTTCTTCTTTTTGATATGATTAAATGGGTGACATGTTTCTCTGAAAAATTATTAAAGAAATTAATTTAGCAATAAGTACACTGAATTTTAAATCAATAGAAGTCTCAATAGATGTAGTCTTAGAGTTTCTATATAGAAATTTCAAAGAGTTAATTTAACTGCTCGGTAGGTTTAGTGTTAACGAAACTGGTATTAGCAGTAAGTTATGTTTATGCCGTTGGTACAAAATAAAACGTAAGATTTAAAGTAGAATAGACTGTAAAATATAATAAATTTCTTTCGGTACCTAATAACTGTTTGAAATCGTTATATATCGGTTCCGACTCATACTATTATGGAGAACTGATATAAAGCCGTAACTGTTGTTAGTTATATTGGTTCTGAGCTATTTTCAACCCTTGGTATTAATCCTTTCCGAAGTGTTCTTGGTTTCTGCTTTGAAACTTACTTCGACGTTATTTAATTCGATTGGAGTTTCATTATTCGTTCAGTTCTTTAATTATTCATTCGAGAACATTTCGAGAGCACTGAAGTACCTTTATATGACACACTTGTGGTACCACAAATAATTATAGTAGTAATTCTTAAAATAAGTAGACATTGGAATAAAATTTAATGATGACTCGATATAGGATCGCAATAGGTTAACCCTTATTGCAATCATGACTGCGTATAGTTTCTTAAAGTCATTTCCTAAACAGGCATGTTTGTAGGTCCGTTGGAAGAATAGGCCCGATGAAGACGATTCAAAATGGTTAACAGTAGTTTATACCTAAAAAGAAGTTTTGTCAAAAACTATTATTTTGTTCCAATATCAATCGATGTTTTCATATGCCTCAGGGTTTTTTCAATGTAGTAAGCGTAAAGATTTGTTGATTACGCTTCGTGATTTAATATTATGCCTACGTCATGAAAACCTTTTTTTATACATGCTTCCTCATAAATTTCTATTCCTATTCACTTATTTTTATTAAATGCATTTTTGTATTATCTATACAGACATTTCTTGCAATTTTTCACATATCTATCGAAATTATTCTTTTCTTAATGATAATAAAAAACTACTTTCGGCTACTTTCCGTACGATTGTTTATTGACTTGAAAGTCGAACCCCCTAAACAGTCTAGCTCTATCTCCGAAAGGAACGCAGCAATTTGTTGCGTTAGTGTCAAGTGACTCTCCCTGCATATAAACTTGCATGTGGATCATGTTAAGACAGGTAGTTGGTCAGTGGCTTCGGTGCAGGACGGAATAACATGACAGTTGTCGATCGAAAGCCGCGAGTTGCCATCGTAGGGGGTGGTTTGGTGCGTGTCGACCTACGTTCAAAAATAATTTTTCACTATAAAAATTCTTCTCGACCCTTTAAACGACACTTGTAAACATACTTGACAGTAGATTTCGGCATTTTAGGTCGGAGCACTAGCTGCTTGTTTCTTCGCGAAGAGAGGACTCTCCGTGAGTGTCTATGAATATCGTGCAGGTGAATATTGAAAAAATTAATTGTATTATTATTTTATTACCTCCAACTCTTTTGACTGATTTCTAGTAATGACGTTCCAATAATCCATTAAACTTACTGACTTATCCATGATTATAATTATGTTTCAATGGTGATTCAAATGTTTATCAAACAAAAATAAGAATGCTCACTTGTTTGGGATACTTATTTTACAATTTGGTTAACGAAGAGGTGAAATAGTAATGTTCTGATTACTTTTTAGACATCAGGCAAGAGGATTACAGAGGACAGAGCATTGACTTAGCTTTGTCAGCTAGGGGACGCGCAGCTTTAAAGGCAGTTGGTCTCGAAAAAGCTATAGTGGATAATCATGGAATCGCCATGCGAGGAAGAATGGTTCACAACAGAGATGGTACCTTGAAGGAAATCATTTATGACAGCGTAAAAGGCAATGTACGTTACATCTCTCTTTCAATCGATTCTGTGCTACCCTTAACTTTCTTAGATGCTCAAAACAAGCTTCCCTTTTCTGTCATAAACTACTGCCCATTTAACATATTTTTCTCAAACTTTACAACGTTTGAAATCATTAGGAACATATTTTGGTTTATCACATTCATTATAGTTCAGAAAAATAATCAAAGAAAACAGCAAATTAATCCACGTCTCTTCTTAATCTTATAATTTTCAGTGTATCTATTCCGTGAGTAGACGATATTTGAATGTGGTTCTATTGAATGGTAAGTAAATATTTTTCCTTGAATTAAAACATTTAATATAGTAAACCGAATAGTTCATTTCATCGTTCACCCAGTTATCAGAAAATCGGGAAAGTAAGAAAGCTTATAAAGAAATTAATCGAATTTCTCATTAATTTCATTTAGGTCGTTGTTCCGTTAACTATTCCGTCCTCTTAATTCTTGAGATTCTTCAGTTCAGCGTATCCAAAACAAGCAATTTGTAGCGATCGTTTATTCATCGAGCAGTACTACTTGAAGTTCGATATTCGTTCGTAAATCCCCGCGGTCGGTATCGATTTCCCTTAGATTTTGCTACGGGTTATTTTGATCCGGTTGCTGCATCCTGCGTTAAAAGTACATGAACGAACACGAGATGCTTTTCAACTGAAAAAAAGCACGGCTGCGTATCCGGTGACGCGGTAGTGCGTGAAGCCACAAGAATTCGAGCGTGTCACGTTTCTTGTCATTGCCGCCCCTGCTTCTTGCAATCTTTATGCGTTCGATGCGTGCGCCTCGGCACTCAATACACTCACTATGACGCTTACCTGAGTTCATATTCACTGTGGCACACTTAAAAGTTCTAAATTTATCAAAAATGCGAAGACACAAACATGTTTTGAATTTTATACTGGAGGGTTCTAGACAACATTAACGCTAGAACTACCAAATGGGTCAAATTGACCTATTCCTAAATTTTTCTTTCACTCCTTCCACAATTAGTAATTATTTATACAGTTGCTTCTCAGAGGAATTATCAATGAAATTGATTTAACGAATGATATGTCAATCGAAATCTGAATACATGCACTCTTAGAGTTCCTATAGAAGAATTTGAAAAAGTCAATTTGGCTGTTCAGTGGTTTTAGTATTAAATTAATTTCTTTTGGAGTGTAAAATAAATGAAAGTATAATATTATTGCACAGTTTTGGGATGAGAACTCGCGGAAATGTCTGTTGTAGCTTCTCGACTGAACTTTACAAGTGATAGGTTGAAGATAATGGAAAATAAAATGTAAATTGTAAATATTGCTAGTAACATATAGTAGAAGTGGAAATCTTAGGAGGATTAAATTAATACGATGGAATTAGTATTAATGTTTTTGTCAAATATATAACCGTATGAATTGATATGAGGAACGTTTGCAAACTTTCTTTTCGTTAATAAAGTGTAGGAGATGGTTTTTCATTTTCGATATAAATGTTGAAACTATAACCTCGTTTTTACTTTCAATTGTATTCTTATTAATCAATTTTATTGCCTTGAATTATCTAATCTGTCAAACAGCTGCGGAAAAGTATTCTGATGTGTGTCTCCATTTTAACAAGAAATTAATAGACGCCGACCTTGATAATGGACGAATGAAAATTTACGAGTAAGAGCACTTTCATTGAAAATAGTGTTACTGTGGAACAGTGTTACACTTACGATATATTTCTAGCACAAAAACCGAAATGATAGAAGAAATAGAATCGGATTTAATAATTGGCGCAGATGGCGCGTACTCGACGATCAGAAAGATGATGATGAAGAGACCGCTTTTCAATTGTAATCAAACCTACATAGAACACGGTTACGTGGAACTGTTCGTTCCTGCTGGTAAAGATAATAAGGTACGTGTAATCACATGGTTGGATATGCAAATACAAGTGATTCAATGTTTACCTCCTGGAAAATTAATTCTCTGATCATTCTCGTTTGAAATAGAATTCTCCATAGGTAACTGTACTCCCATCAATAACAAATTATTAATCCATAAATTATCATAATATAGTTTCTATAGATTTTATAGAAAAATGGAGTATGATATTCTACTATTCAATTAACAAACATATAAATATTATAGAATGAATTATTTTTTAGAATTAAGTTTAAAAAATGAACAATTCTGAACAGTATTCTCTTGTTACCATAATTATCCATAAATTATCATAATATACTTTCTATAGATTTGATAGAAAAATGGAATAAGATATTCAGATATTCAATTAACAAGTATATAAATATTATAGAATGAATTATTTTTTAGAATTAAGTTTAAAAAATGAACAATTCTGAACAGTATTCTCTTATTACCTTAAAGTGGTTTAAAATTTGAAAAGAGTTATTGTTAAAAGTGTAACACAATGACAATCTTCAAGTTTTCGATGAGCGGCCATCATCTTCACATATGGCCGCGAGGGGAGTTTATGATGATCGCTCTCCCGAACGAAGATTGCACCTTCACCGGAAATATATTCGCACCTTTCGCTACTCTAAACAAATTGAAGACGCCGCAGGATCTCCTGGACTTTTATGAGGAGCAATTTCCTGATCTTCTGCATTTGATTGGTAAACAGAAGCTGGTGAAGGATTACTTCGAGAGGGAACCGAAAACGTTGATATCTATTCAGGTAAATGAAACAAGATTTTATAAATCATTTCAGGAAATTGCAGGTCGATGGTTTTAATAAATTCTATTAAATAAAGTACCATTGAAATGGTTATGTATAATTTCAGTGCAAACCTTATCACGTTGGGAAAACTGCTCTTCTTGTTGGTGACGCTGCACACGCTATGGTGCCATTTTATGCGCAGGGAATGAACGCTGTGAGTTGTCCCTAAAATTAACTAAAAACGTACTGATATTTACCGATTGAAATATTTTGTATTCAAAGTTGACACGTGAAACAGCAAATACTATATGAAACTTGAATTCGGTATTGGACATACGTATGAAACTTCGTTACGATGTAAGGTAAATGAACCTTATGATAATTGTATATTTGTTTTATCAGGGTTTCGAGGATATTTTATTGTTGGATGAGTTAATGGAACGTTATGATTCAGACTTCAGTAAGGTTCTACCGATGTTCACCGAACTAAGGTGCGACGACGCTCACGCGATATGCGATTTAGCTATGTACAATTACGTTGAGGTAAGCTTTTTGTCTGACAAATTCTTGATAAGATCATTGTCTCCATTTGAACTTTGCACTGTAAACTTTCATTCATTTTCTTTTGTTTTAATTATTGTGTACTTTTTAAAAAGTTATCTTCACCCTGTTCACCGTGTTACAGTTCATGTAAATAGTATTCTAAAACGAATAACACAGGAACATAAATTTACTTAATCTAAACATTATCGAAGTTTATATAAAATAAGAACTTTGAGGAAGGAACTACACCAGTTCAATTCTAATTAATTGTGAAAAGGGAACTTGCATTGAATTCAAGAATTTAACGCTTCGCTAATATGTTTATCTAATTATTTCCTCCGTGTACAATCAATCTACTAACACCTTGCATTATTTAAGTTTCGTAACTTTCAAATTAGTCAAATTGGAATTGATTGGAACAGCTTAAAAGCTTCATCAATCTTTATAATCATCATCTTTTCAAAATCACTGTATAGAAACATGAATTTATATTAATTTCAGCAATTTAATTGCCAAAACTTTAGAAAGTAGATATATTTATACTTTAAACCAATTTGTTACATACCAGACGATTTGCAGATGAGGGATTTAGTGAACAGAAAATCGTTCCTCTTGCGCAAACACCTGGACACGATACTCCACCGTCAAATGCCGAACACTTGGATACCCTTGTACAGTACAGTACACTTTTCACGAATGAAATTCCGTGATTGCATCGCGAACAAGGAATGGCAGGACAAGGTACATACATCGAATGCATCGTAGGAAATAGTAAGCTGTTAAAAATGAACACACACACTGAAACGAATAGTATTTTTCTTTCAGATTTTACGTGGGATCGTTTGGTTCACATTCTTCATTATTCTTGCGATACTGTTGGTACCAATCATCGGAAAATACACCATAAAGCGTGTCCTATTTTAAACCTATTAAACAGGAATGTCTACAACATTTTTCCTATTAAAAAATGTTTTCAAATCGCACCAATCCGAGTTCTTGTTTACCTAATGTTTACATACCCTCATTTACCGTTCATATTACATCGAATATTTATAACCGCGTTTGAGCAATTCCCGTTTTAAGGCCTTCACCACGAAGAATCCTCTTTAACAATTCAATTAAAACGCAATTGCTACTCCACGCATTAACATCACGCTCTCTATCTAAACAGCTCGGGGGAGTTCGTGTTCTATCTAGGAAAAAGAGTTCTATAAAAGTACGTATATCTTCGTTCTTATCACTTCTTTGTAAAATCACTAAAAACACGGTGAAACGTTAGGAATGTCTTCGACGCACGGGAAGATTTCAACGACTTTTGGCGTCAATTTGAGGATCACTGTTGCAGGGTAACGCGTATCACGATATCAACTCGAGGGACACTGAATCAGCGTTCTTTATGTATTTGTGCTTATGAGCCTCGAACAGGTCGTTCAAGTGCTCGATGAACTTCTCGTGGTACTCGTTCACCTGCTCCGCGGTTGGCTCAGGAATTTTTGGTAACTCCATGGGACCGCCGACTGGAAAAACATAGAAAGGGATTGTCAGAAAAGTTGACAATTTTTTACGAATTATCATTTAAGAATCTTACAACTTTATTCGCTGCATGACATTTTTGAAAGTATACTCCATCTTTCAATTCTTAGAAAAACTAAATTATCCTCAATTATTCATTTCCATTAATTTTTATGTAATTTATTATTCGACTTTTACAATTGTCAAATCATTGATTTTCTGCTGGGTAGAAAATGCCGTAAAGCAATGAAGGTAAATGAGGAATTGAAGCAATATGGCACTGTTTTAATCGTCTTGAAGGAACGAACTTCATAATAAGTAGTGAAATAATAATTAATACAGATTAATACGAGTAATCTGTAAAAGAATCTAGCAGTACAACACGCCGATGTAGAATTATATAAATCAAAAGTAAAGATATTGATTGTCGGGCATTAAATTAATTTACTCACCAACGACGTTGATGGGTTTCCTATGAGCAATGATTCCGAACGAATACTGGAAAAATCCTCGACCCATTAAAAGGACTGGGGCGATTCCAATCTTCTTGCGAATGAAGTGCTGCGCTTTTTTTAGGAACGAGCCGTCTGGGCCGTACACCTGATCGTATACATCGGTTTCTCCAAACGAGAACACAGGTACCAGAGGTCTCCTAGAAATAGCGAAACAATGAATGAATAATTAAAATCTTTGAACATTTATTACAGTAGAACCCTCTATAACGCCATCAAAATATTTAGGAATTTCGCGTGAGATTCCTTTTGGATACTAGTCTAATTTATATATACCGTCAAATTCATCCTCTGTATCTTCTTTCCACAGTTATCCTTCAACGATTTTTTAATCGCGTTATAATTGGTCCTACTGTATATCGATTAAGCTCTTGCCGTATGATTTCTCAGCTATGATCGATACAAATACTTTGCCATTAATGATTCATAGGAAAAACAGAAAAATTTCAAGCGTGCTCTACGTCTATGTTCAAAGTATAATTACTGATAACAGAAGAATAATATTTAATTTTATTAAAATCTTCATCGCGAGTCTGACACGTTGTTCGAAGGCAAAGGGTTGAGAAACTACGAGTCTACGGATTTTCGTTGAGGATGAAGTTTAAGGCCTTAATAACAACTACGGGGCAAAATGAACGTTCATTCGGGGGTGTCATTGATCCGTCGAGCTATTTGTTCTATGATTAGCGATGGTTGTTTACGGGGCATCGTACGGAGATTGTACATTGTAATTTATAAACATTGATAATTCTAACCCATGCTTCAGCGCGATCTTTACGAAGCCTTTTCTTCTTTTTACCAGGATACGATAAGTGCCTGGCTTACATTCCAATGATTCCGACGCTCCACCGACGATCAGAACTGTTCCTCTTCCAGTGTACGGTTCTTGAGGCTTCGATGACAGCAGATAGTTCAGGCTTTCCGCGCTGCTGCTGACGGTACCTGGGTTTCAAGAGAATTTGAAATTAAGTCGTTCATTCTAATTTAGAAGCTGGAAATCATTGAGTTTGTTTCGAACAAACTTTACTTCATTAATACATTCATTTAACTGGACGATGATAAATTAACAAACTGTATATGAAGAAGAAATATTTGAAATCAGAATGAATTTTAATTTGAACAAGATTTACAGGATGGAGGTAGTTTATATATAAACGAAAACAATTGAATATGAACTTAAAAATAAGTTTGCGAATGAAACATTGAATAAAAAGAATAAGAAAACATGATAAAAGAAGTTCGCGTCTTTTGCATCACAAATAATTAGTGTTTCTTAAGATTTCTTAAGAAAACATACATTTACTAAAGAATAAAGGAACATAATTATTTTAACCGTTTGTTTTTAGAAAACGTCTATGCTGATCTTCCCACGCTGAAATATGATATTTCTACGTACTTCACGTTTCATTTCTATTGCACAACAATTAGCAAAATTTTCTTTCTGTCACGCAACCAAGAAAGTCTGCTTTAAATATTCTCTTCGCTGAAACAAGAACACTGAAGGTGCCATCAACTTTAAGACTCAGTTTCACCCCTTGAGCGTGAATATCCGCCAGGAAAAATTGGTTCTATATAGTCGAATATTCCCTAGCATCTAATGGAATTTCTTTGAAGCCAGAATTCGCTGCGAAAAGTTTTCTTTGCGGGATATTTTTAGAATAGAATCAATGAACCTTCGAACAGGAAGATGGAAAAACTTCGGGAAAAGAAATTTTTTAACGAACTCATGTCTAAATAATTGTTGATACGTACCGCTCGAGTAAACATATTCACGGAATAAGGGAATTCGGAAATGTTGATCGAGGATAACCACCCGGAAATCCAATCCCGGGAATAATTCCCTGCATCCGAGGACATCCGAGCCGAACGCGCCGAAAATTCCTGTCGACAGGATCCCGTGGGGGAAGCTGCAGAATAAATAATTCTTCGTGGGATCTAGGTCAGTGGTTTTCACCAACTTCAGTGGGAAATAGTTGCAAAAGTAATGCAACCAGGCACAATTCCTTAGCCACGATATCCAGCGAGCACTGAGACAGAACAAATTGAAAGGTTAATTTTCGAATAGGTGGGTATATAATAGAAACGTTGTGGATTGTAATATAGTAAATTATGAAATGTATAATATAATATAATATAATATAATATAATATATTATAATATAATATAATATAATATAATATATTATAATATAATATAATATAATATAATGTAATATATATGTATATATTTATTATATACAACAGATAACAGATTCGTATACTTGTTTGCAATCGATAAGGTATTTGAGTGTTTGGTTCATGGGAAAATTTTGTTGCCATTGGTACGAAAGTGAAACACATTGGATCTTTGAGGAACTATGTTAAAATGTCAAGGTCGATGGCAATAGTATATCGATTGACAAATTTTTAATCCTTTAATTAGAAGGTCTGGTATATTTAGAGTTTATTTTGTGCGAGGTTGTGTCATATTATATATATATAAGGTATTTGACGATGTGCGCTGGATATTTCAGGAGTTGCTCGTACAAGTTAAAATGTTTCAATTTTGCTTTCAATTGCTTCAATCTGCTTGATTAACGATGCAAAATCTCTCGGAACTACGACGATCCGCCAGTAATGACGCGCGTCAGGTAAGTCAGTACTAGAGCAGACAATGTCATTACTACATGAAAGACTTAGATCCTTACGTAACTCGCGTCATTGGTGAATTGTAATCGTCAATAACTTGAAACTAAAATCAAAACCGTAATTTCATCATTGATGATCTCCATCTTAATTCACCTTAGTAAATCAATTTTTCAAATACCTGTTACTCGTAATAAAATATTAAAACTAAATATATACACTCTGCATATATACATCTGATATAATACATTAGACTATTTAAACGTAACATTTGAAGGCGTCGAATAATTTTAGAAAACGTCTCTTGCATCAGAACTAAGATATACCCCTTCAAATATCGACACTGATGCAAAAGTATTTAAAATCGACATGTATTCAATAAAAGTCAACATCTCAAACGTGTGTTATTTCAATGAAACGTATGCACTTATTTACACTTGTACTCCAAGCGTCATGAATATGGAAAAATTTAAAATATTTCCTACACGGCGAGTGAAACATTTCCATTACAAATATACGAGGATCTCAATTAATCGAATTGTTATGACTCGCAAACTAGACTCGCCTAAAGCCTCGGTTATCCGCGAGCTTAATAATTACGTCTTTCAAATCGTGCGCCAGGATACACACGGTCGCATTTTACAAACATACTTCGAAGAATTTGTGTGCGGACTGTTCGTCGTTCAATTAAATCGGATAATCGAGGCTCTATTGGATATCGATTTCAAATACTTTCGTGAACCAGTGTACCACATGTGTCAGAGCGTCCTGCGCCTGTTCGCGATCTAGTAACATGTACTCACTTTCGACCTCCTTTATTGCACGTGTCCCAGTCGTAGTACATCCACACGAAGTAAAGTAGGATGAAGTAGCGCAATATTTCCGTGCGGAAGAGCAGGTAAGCCGTGATGCTCCAACCGATGAAATCGCCGAATCCCAGCCAAACGATCCATATCGCCGCGGAAAGGGTTTCGAGCCTTCGTCTCAGAGGCACGTTCAAAGGAGCGAATTCCACGCCGAGTATCTTCGTCATTGTGCCCGGTTCACTTTCGTTTTCGATCAAGATAACATTAGAATAATCTTACTCGCACACCTGTTAACAATTTATGATGCATGTAATGAATAACGAAAGTTTTAATGAGATTTATTTGCATATATATTTCTAGGAGATCACTTGATGGCTAATTGTAAGCTGAGGAATTCGACCGATCGATCGTTTCTCACTCTTTCTCGCACAGTTTCTTGTTGGTTTGATTTTCACGACTTGGTTTGGTTTAACGCAATCACTTAAATTTTAATATGAACTTTCATGTGATACTGTTTTACTGATTTCTTAGGTTTGGAAGTAATTTCTGTTTTTTAAACGATTCTCTTTTTGTTTGCGATGGTACATGCTTTGATAATTTATTATTATTTTATCTTATTTCTTGATCTCTTTAATACTTTTTAGATTTATTACTTCTACCAGCTTGAGCGATGTTACGGTGGCACGGAGAGGTGGACTGTGAATTTTGAACATACATTTATGCGATAATGATATATTTATCTTCGATATCTTATCTTGTACTTATATCTTATAAGAAATGGCGTGGCCTGTCGCTGAAAAATTGGTGCGAATAACTTCTACCTTTATGTAGAATAACATGGTACACGTGTAACGAATATTTACGCAATTTTAAATTGAACGTGTACGCAGTCTATACATTTATAATAAACGTCCCGAATACTTCAAACGCCGTTGTAGCTTTGCACGATAAAAAAAAAGTTAGCTGAATGGATCATATTTACAAACTAGATTTCAGCCTGAGTGTCTCACGAAATTTATGCGTGTTTGAGAATGTTCGTTGTCTTCTCTACAAAGTTAGGCATTACTACAATTTTTGTAAACAACCGTTTATGAATAATAAATAATTAACTAAATTTTTGTTATTCAAATATTTTATCTTCAGTCGAAATATATTTAGTTTAAAATGTGTAATAAATTATTTTTTATGGTTCTAACTACAATTTCAACTTCAGGAAGAGGAAAGTAGAATATATTAGTCGTCGTCGTAAATTCAATTATGCTAACAACATGTTTTTGAAATAGAAGGCACGATATTAACATTTATTATACTGATTTATTCGTAGTACATGTAAAATGTATTTACTTTGTTAGATAAACATTTTCCAGAGGCAGATTGTTTTACAAAGAATAACGAATGTCGTTGAAGATTTACTCGAGAAGTAGTGAAGTATGTTCAGTTAAGGCAAATAGGATGTTAGAGTGACGAAGATGCAATGACTAATTTGCTCGTAATGTGATTAGAGCTTTCATGAGTCAGCAGGTTTGTCATAATAAGGAAATTTGTTTCCAAGAAACTTATACACGTATTTAAATGTGTTAATTAAAGAGACAAAAGAAACTGTTGAAAATTGTGTCATTAGTGACATTAAAGGAAATCTGTGATTATAAGGGAGTGATGTTTAAGTACCGTTCTTCAATCTGTCATCAAGTCATAATTTGCCGTTACCACTAGAGTGTGATACGGTTCGAACACTATCTTTTAAAACAGATTGTTAAATAATGGGATTTTGCGAATATTTTAAACATCAATAGAACTGCTTTAAATATTCATATATTCTTTTGAAATGTTATCCCAGTAACTGCTGATTTACTTAATTGCGTCATTAACGTTTGAAGGATATGTAAAATATTAACAGGGTTCGAACGTTTATAACGACGCAGTTCATCTTCACGAGTTATATCAATATATTTCCTGCGTAATATTTCTAAAATTACTATTCAGGAAGATAATATGTTTACATATGATCTCCACGTAAATAATAATCCCCTCCTTTGATGCGCTATTCATTTAACAATGCATTTCGCAAGCGATTGATCTACTTTTTAACATTAGAAATAATCACTTGCATCAGAACTTTCATAACTTCCATAATTATAGAATTACGCGAAGTACACAAAAACCAGTGTAATTACTCAAAGCACGATTCAACAAAAAAAAAAGGTTAACAGCGCGAAAAAGAACGGACAAGTAAACTGTAATTCTATTCAATTTTTTCGAACTTCTTTTTTACGGAGCAGTGTTTGGAAAGAAAAATTGATATAAACGTGCACGAGGTACCGACGACGCAGGTAATGGAATAGTCGACGTAAAAGTGTACCGTGCCGCGAGGTAGAATGATTCGAGTTAGAAGGTCATCGACCTCGTGTTCCCTTTAACCTGCCTTCCAACCAAATTTCATGCGGTGAAACTGACATAGAGATCGCCTGAAACGTCATTTCCCGCCAAAGGCTGTTGAACCAACATGGCGGATGTCACGAGCATTTCGAGGGCAATATGGTCGTTTGAAATCATTTGCAATTACATCACACATAATTCGATTATACAGGCGGCTCGAGCGAAGCAGATTATTTCGCTCGATCGACGTGCCCTTAGAACAATGCAATCGCATTATTTATAGAAGAGGAGCCTCAGAAAAGGAATAGCTCGGCGCATACTGGTTAAAATAAATCACCATCGCTCGTTAATAGCGCTCCCCTATAGCGTAATTATTTCCTTGGTCCCCTCCTTTGTTTCAGATCCCGAGCTATCTCGACAGCTGACAGGTTACCCATCCATCATCTTGCTCCCTCGAACATCTTTCTTTTCAAACTTCACGAGCACCAACTTTCAACCGAGCTGGGTTTTAAGGACTTGGCAAAGTTTAGGCGTTTTGAAACTTAATCGTCGTCGGCAAAGTAATTTTATTCATCGTAGATAGTAGAGTATGCATATGGATCATACATTTAAAAGCAGTCGATCTAAATATGTAAATAGCGATTGCTCGTGAATGTACATGCACTTCCGTAAGGTAATTTTTACGAGGTGTATATTACAAGAAGCGGTTACGAGTTCCTTATTAGGTAATACGAAAAATCACATTGCGTAAAACTAGATACACGCGTCGTACTATTCCCTTCTTCATGTCTGAAGAATTATTTTATTCAAAATCTCAAACGAAAGTAGATGTAACGTTGTTTAAATAATTCAAGTCTCAAGAATCACGTGATCGCTTCTTTGCGAGATGATATATTCCAAGATCTACGTCGCTTAGTTGTACTTCAAATAATATATTTACAATCTAATTGTAATTATAATTATAATTAACTCACAGTCCTTCAATACAAAATATTTGGAACCCAAAGCCATGATAAAGAATTCGTTCACAAACCTTGAAATCCAGTTCACAAGATCAAGGAAATTCCCACAGCAAAAGGTGCGCAATCCGGATCAAGAATGCAAAGAAACTCACACGACGGCGTCGAAACAAATTAGTCAATTAATTATCTTCGCGATACTCGACCGGATAACGGTGACAATAGCTAACTCTACGCGCGCTTCGGACGTACGAATTCCTGGCCGACCTTCCGAAGACCAACTAACACGAAAAACGAAATTGTTCAATGACAACAGTCGCTCGAGCGCGAAGAGATAAGTGCTCGAACAGCACCAGCGACGAATCAGCAATTCCGATAGGGCCTCCGAAATATGTATACCAATCTCTCCGTTTACGCGGAGTATCCGTTTCGCTTTACGCGAATGAAAATCTATCGGATAGAGACTGTCAGTACAAAAAACAACAAACTATAGGAAAGAAAATCTGTTGCACTTCAGAAATACAATAGGCTCGCTCAATAACATTGTTTGTATTATTCCTCCACTTTTACTATTTCTCAACTTTCTAACCGTATTAAAGAGAAGCCTATTCATTTCACATAGCCTGACACTAGCGTTTTATGCGACTACTATCCAATCCTTACGATAATTCTAACATTTCTCCGATTTCTTCGTATATTTCGTTATAGTATTTAAGTGAAACTATTTTCAAAATCATCTCAGACATTCGATACTTTTAAAATACCAACAATTCCACGGTAGTCTGAACGGAGAACTAACAATAATGACATTCCAGAAGACAAAGGTAAACTGTATTCAGTATCACTGAGTTCAGATCGTGCGTGAACAGTATCGCATAAATAATGTTGCGATTTGCCGCGTAAAAAGTGTACAGCGTAAAAATGTGCCGCGTAAATGAAGGGACTGTTCAGGTGATATCCTCGTGGCTCGACTCACCTTTTAAACGTCCGGCCGTTGTCCGCACGCTGCGAAATCAGCCGGGGCCAGGTGAAGCGTTTCCGATGCGCGGCGACGAAAACGGTACACTTTGTTTTTCCGAGGGATCAACTGGGATCGTCGGTGACCATCTCGATGGACCGGACGCGTGTGGAATCTATGGATAGCGAAATGATCCTCTCGGCGACACGCTGCTTACTGGCTCGGCGCCGCGTGGATGAAACAGGAAAGAGCGCGCGCGTGCATGTACACTAGCCGCAGAAAGTTTTCGGAGCGGTTCGAGGCGCTTCGATTATCGTGTTTGTCGTGTCGGGTCATCGAAAACCGGGTATTGAGACCGCAGTACGGAAAATTTTCGAAGTTATAAATAATACGTTGCAAAATTTATTATTGGGACACGATTTTGTACGTGACATAGGCGCCGCGTGAAACCCGTCGAGCTTGAACGCTTCTGGTATCGGATTTACGATGCGCGTATTTTTGAACATTAGATTCTGAAAATGAAAGATGAGATAGGGTTTATTTTATTTGTTTGTTTGGAATTTGATTTAACTGATGAGATGCTCGCGGTTAATCAGTGGGAGAGAGATATTTCGTTGATCTTCGTTGAAGTGTTTGCGATAAAGGAAGTTATATAGAAGGGGATGTGAATTTTGAAATTTATCGTTAACGTTTATTTTATCATGTACTGTATTCATGTTACTGTTAATGGCTTTACGAAGATGGAAGGTTTAAAAGATTTTTGTGATGCCTCTATCTTTTGGTGTTCCATGAAGAGCAGAGTCAAGAACTAGAAAAGTAACAATTTTGAATGTATTCATTGGTTTAATATGTAATTAGTTATTCCAATGTGAATGCAATTTACGGATTTAATTTTGCAAGAAAGAATTATAAAGAATAATATGTAAGAAGCTAGTAGAGGTATTAGAATTATTCGTTTGACCAATGTCCACTTAAGAAGACAAGATTATTTAATAAAGCGATGCACATCTATCTTGAAATAGGAAGAGCATTACTCAGTTCAGTTATAAATAATCTCCATTCCTCTTTTCTAAATTTGATTCTTCTCCAAGATAACTTATAACCAACTTTAACTTACTATATATTCCCAGTCGTACTATATTTATAAGTTTCGTTAACACTTCAAATTTAACAAGTTCAATACTATTCAAAGAATATTTCAACAGATGCATTTGATTATATACACGAAATCTTTCGAAGTTCCTAATATTTCCATAGATTTTGTCTATACTGTACACTTTGGACTTACGTACACCTTATCACGTGAAGTTCTGCGGCTTAAGGGGAATAACCTCCTTCTTCTCAGTTTCCAGTGATACCGCTTTGTGGTCGTCAAGACTTAAGATTTCATGGAAACTTAATGATATTTTGTTCAAACGAATATCTTGTATTTGACTCAGGTAAAATTCTCGATAATAATTTTGATCTTTATACGGAACGATTATTCTTTAGATCTTACCGCCAGACAGAGATGCCCTGTGCACTTCGGAGATCTCGGAGAATTCGTATTCCCCTCACGCGGTTGGAATCAGTGGAGCTGGCTGTACCCGTGCACGCGGCTGAATCAATGATGAGGTTCTGAACAGACTCTTGGGAAACAAAACGCCCGTTTGGAGAATTCACGTTCCATGAAGCCCGTGCACGACGGGACCTTGATCGATAAACGATACCTTGGATCCCTTTATATAGAAGACAGAATAGTACTGTTTTATAATTGGATGAAATCGAAACGAGAAAATGTGTTTCTCGGATACAGAGTACGTATCTCGGAAATTTATTCGGTTGAGTCACTCACAGTTGTTACTCTCCTTCCTCCAATTACATGGATTAAACACATTCTACAATTAAGATTTATTTATCACGTATGTTAGATATCCTTGAGTCTCAACGGTTTTATTGCCTGTTCGTATAGTTTAAACAACTTTTTTGGAGATATGATATATTAAAAATCATTTTTGGAGTTCGGAAATATCATTTAGGGTTAATAGTATTAGTATTATGCTTGATGAAAATGGAATTAAATAGTATAATAATTGTGATAATGGGAAGTAATTTACTTGTAGATGTAGTAATAATATAATGTTTCACAGTTTACCTTTAATGTAGAAATGAAATTTATAAGACAGTGAAATAATAGTACTCAAGTTAGATATGAATTATTTAATGGTAAAAAGCATTATTAAAAACGACGGAGAGTTGAGGATGAGTAATTATGAATTGAATAATTCGATTGTTTTGAAGTCGCCAAATTGTACAGTCGTGTGTGTTTTCCCGCCAAATATTGTTCATTTGAAAGAAAAAGATTTGAGCTACTTTGTCAGCTGAACGTTTTTCAACTTGAATGCTTGCGTAACAGTAATGTGAACCGAGGAGCGTCTTATCATTTACATTTTCTACCTGATACTTTATGCGTTTCGCTTTCGTGTACGTGATTTTATTGCAACTAGAATTTACTACTGAGCACAATATTTTACGAAATATTTATTTTGACAGACGTCTGAACGGGAAAAATGGCTACTTTAATAACAGGAATTTAATATATTATTATTAAACACAATAATATAATCGAGAAGCATATATTTTTAATGAAAATAATTACTTGTTTAATAGATTTCGACGAAAGGAAAATTTAGAACGTGTAAAATAAATCTTTTCATTCCACTGTAGATTCAGTAACTCTGCAAACCTCACGGCTGATAAGATAATTTTCGGGCGTATTCACTCCTTCAAATTGTGTAATCTCAACAGTATTTCATCTTTGACGTCTTTCACTGGCTCATGAATGATGATTCAATCGTAGATTTCTCGTAGATGCTGCTAAAATTTACATTCTTATAATTCCATTAGTAACCTAATTTCATTTAGAATCTGTAATTTCTAATTTTCATTTCGTTTTTTACGTTGATATAATAATTTGCATAACAAAAATTTCGATAAATCCCTACAAGTTCACCGAAATACAAGAATCATAAAAGGAGAACAATACGAAACTATCCAATACCTTAAGTAATTTGAAAACCTGTAATCAAAATTAATTCAAATAACCGTCAGAATGGTACATAACTGTATAATAATACAAGTCCGTGCAGCATAATAAAGATTTAATAATGAGAAGAACAATCCAGGGAGAGTTAAGAGAGTGACGTTGTTGAACCAATACGTTTATTGCTTGATCTATATAAAAAATGAACAGAAGAGAACCGATGAGGGGGCGAGGTATGCACCCGTCAGAGGCCGTGCATCAGCACCGAGAACAAAATGTTAGTTAATAGAATCTATACCATCGCGACAACGATTACAATAGTTAACCGGTACATCATTATACATACGTATATACACATAATGCACGTGTAGTTTCCGAAACTTCCGGTCTCGTCCGCAGTCGCGTCAACATTTCTCGCTTATAAAACTTTCATTCGTGTATTATAAAAATAAACAAATTCAATGACCATTATATTCTCCAATGATTCTCGAAGGAAGAATGAACAAAACTTGCATGACAATTGTGAGAACACCGCACTTAACCGAGTAACAATAGTTCTCGCCGTCTTAAGAGATCTTCCATCCTTCGGTAGCATAAATATTCACTGATTCACGTTTAATCATTTCAATATATCTATTATCTCGTTTTAATCGATAATATATTAGTCTCCATATAAAATTCATTTTCAATAGCTCTCCCGAATACTTCGCGTTTCACATTCGGCATTACAAATAGAACGACGCGAGTCAGCCCGCGAAGTTCACTTCCTCCATTTTGAATTTCGGCGAAGGAGAGTATATGTCCTTCGCCAATTAATTTTTACAATCGTTCGTTTAATAAAACTTCTCTTTGTCTCAAAAACTTCTCTAACAATTCCTCACCGCGATACAATTTAAATAATTTTGTACTGAACAATTTATCAGTTGATATATAATATATATACATATATAATATATGTTTTCGTACAATTCAACGGAATTTAGAATTCGATACACGTACAAGATGCTTTTTAATTAGTGAACAACGACCCGGAACGTAGTTCTATGTGAAAAAAGAATGGTACTCTTGTGCATAGAACGAACTTACCATTTTACCATTTGTGTCGTTCGACATTTTTCTTGGAAATTTCAAATCAAAACGGAAGCTACGATCTTCACAAACGAAGTGTGAGGTTTTCCCGGGGTCGTGTCGCGACGAGAAAAGTTCGGAAATTAAACGTGATTCCCTAAAGTTAGACGGCACCGATCGAAACTACCGCCACACGGATTAACAAGCTCCTCTGCTTCGGTTACACGCCATTTTCGTTTCCCTACAAGCCGGGAACTGAATAGCGCTCGACTTATTTACCGAAGCGATAGATTATTTCTTCTAAGCATGAAGCTAACCTTTGACTGTCCGCTTTAAAGTTTCTGCGTAGTCGATAAATAGATCTTCTTTGTTTGTCCATTGGAATTATGCACTTCGGTGCGTAAAAACTGTGAGCCCAAAAAAACAAGCAGTAGCCTCTTGAGGGACATGACTAATTAGCTCGTCTAATAGAGCCTTTATGTAGTCATTATAATTTTTCATCTAGTTACATTCAGTTTTCCCTGGTATTGTAAATTTCATGGACGTTAATTTAATATTGATGACATTCGTTTGAGTCTTTATTAAACCTTTTATTTGCACGTTCGTAGTTTTTGAAACTTTCAACGTGAGCGTTAAATCGTAAGGATAACTTCATCACATATATTTCTGATTAAAGCGACTACCCACTTTATCATTTTTCCTTCGATACGTTCTTTCCTCTTGTTCTCTGTGAGAAGATAAAAAGATGCTACCTATGAAGATGACGACTGATGAATCGAATATAAATTTAGGAACTTTAATCGTAGTTATATTCTCCATGTTGTTTCTTGCGAATGCAATTTAGAATTAATCCTTTATTATATTTATTAAATTCCCCTGTATCAGCCTTCTACACGATTTTCAAATTCTTCAAATCCAACCCTGTTTTCCTTTCTTTACAAAGGTTGTTTACATTCGAAGCAAAGTAATGAAATAAAGCCTAAATTATTTTCATCCAACATTCTACTAGATGATTTATAATTTTATATACTTGTTGAAACACTCGACTCGACTACCTCAGAACTTTAAAACCCGACAGAGTCAGAGTCTCAGGCGTCACCCGCCTAAGCACGCACTTTACATATTGTCACAATCTTCGACTCTTCGATAATCACTCACGTCGCAACAACTAACGTCTCCCTCGCCAGGTAACAGAGGTCCTTTCAACGATACTTACAACGACGACGCCTTGTCGCCCAAACTGCGCGAACTCTTGGTAAGCTTTCTACTGTCCTGCATTCTGTAGGAACATAATCCTCCGACAGTAACGGCGGTCACGCGAGCATCTTTCTCTTAGAGATGTAATTTTCCAGAATTATAGAAAGATCACCACAGTATTTATCGAATCAGACAATTTGAAACATTCTAATACTGAAAACGAATCGTTTTTTAAATAAAAATTTGTATAAACCATTAAATTTATAGCTTAACGATAAATTCGTAAGTGTACTACGAAATGGAGACTGATTTTTCGTAACAGAACTCAATGTAACGTTAACTTATGTCTGTCACACATAAATACTAGCGAAATATTTTTTAAAACGAGATGTTTCCAATATTTTCAATCTTTTTCTTTTACACAGTTAAGATGGCTCACGCAACGTTCGTCCTATTGGATCTCTAATGCACTTATTCATTTCACGTTATCAAACTTCTTTATAAGACGAGTAGATTCTACAGAACACAGGTTCGTTTTCGAGATATGGATGACAACGATGACGAGGATGCTTGGACGACGCGTTACGCGACGATTCTACTTACTATAAACGATTGTCAGGGACGGACAGTGAGGTCGTTAAACGTAAAATATAGTTTCACGCGAAACCGAGTTAGCATTGATACGCGGATCTGTCGATCGTCGTCAAGCCGCTCGTTTCACACGTATATTGGTTCAATGAAATTCGAGGATGAAGTTTCGCGAGATTGATCCTTCCATTAATAAAACTGGATCATTTGGCAGAAACCCTGTGCGGATGTCCAAGGTTAAATTTCACTAACAGGAAAAGCTTCTGATGTGTGAAAACTCTGACTTTAATGAAACTGTTGTAGAATTGTAAAGTATGCTAGACTAAAACAACGAAGGATCGTCTTTTATTCGACGGAAATTCGATTAACAGAGAATTCATTGTTTTCGGTAGACTATTGAAAAATTGGAGTAATATTATTTGTTACATTTCCCGCGGCAAGAATGTAACGATGTATTAAGTAGCGACATTCTCACACTCACGAAGCGTACGTTTCATTTTTGTTTATCGAACGATGTTCTCGATTAATCTGATTGAATCTAATCAAATCGATTCTTACGTAGTCGTACATGCTTTACAGTTCCACTTAATTCAATTGAAATCAACATTTCTCACCGCACAAGGTCGTTCGCAGCACCGGAATAACAACTCGGTGCCAGAAACCCAGGGGAAAGTACAAAAAATCATTCGGTTTTCAGAGTCTCAATCATATATCCTCCTATTATTTTTTTCATTTTCATTAACAAATCACAGTGTACTGTCATCGTATAATACAAATATCTAACGTAGCATTACCAAAGCAATAAAAACGTAATAAAAAAAGGTATTTCGACGATCAAGCACGTACTATTCAGAAGTAAGGTCACACAAAAGTCACGTGGTTACACGCATATCTCCGACCGAGGGAGTCAATTAACCCATTGTCTTGCGTTCTAACCCTTTGGGGTCCTTCGAATCCACTATCCAGAACAAAATATACATCGTATATTTATATATATATATATATATATATGTGTGTGTGTATGTGTATGTGTATGTGTGTGTGTGTATTTTTTTCTTCTTTTTCTTTCATTACTTACAGTACATTAATGCTTTAATATTCAATATAACTATATATTAAATAGTTTACGGGACCGCGAAGGGTTAAAAATCAACTCGATTTTGGTTCGCCGTATGATAGAAACCGCCATTATCGATCGTCGGATGAAACATGGGGTATAATCACGGGGTGAATAACGATGCGAGACGAAAATTAAAGAAATGGGCTAATCGACGCCGGTTAACACGTATGTATATATATCAACTTTCTTTCTCATTTTTTTTTTCTCTTCGAACGCTAAAAATGCTTAACAACGAGTATAACGATTCTGTCTCCCGAAATATACATATGTGTATGTATATGTGCCGCGAGAAAGCTCTTAAGTTTATTGCTTCTTCTAATCTAGAATTGAACCACGATTACGACCTCGGCGATCAGCTCCATTTTACCCTTTCAGAAATTGATTATTCCGTGTCGACGATGAATCGATTGGGAGCTATCGTTTCCTGCTCGCTGCTGTCGACAGCGCTTAATATCTGCCTTCAACGATTCGATTATTTAGCGTGTGAAAAAAGAGATGCGCTGATCAATGCTGATTATTGGAAGGCGTTGATAAGACACTTTACTAAACATAGAACAATGAACAAAACTATTAACTGATCGTGATAATTAATACATTAAGAAAAAGGTACAAATTGAGTTCGAGACAGATATGACATCGAATCACCGATGAAAAGCCGAGAAAGCTTCGTCAGCACTCACTCGGAAATCCTTTTCTCGTTGGTCTCCATCAACATCACTGTATTATAAAAACTTTCAACGTCCGAACAATTTCATTTTTCCGTTCAACAACCAGTTAAAAGCGTGGAAGAGAGAAAGCGCGGGAGCCAGTGGATTCGCCAGGCTCCCGCAATACAAGATGGCAGTTCGTTTATATAAATCGGGGAAGTTACAGCGGGGAATTTTATTATTGAAAATCGAAGTCGAGACTGCTCGTTACTCAATCGTATCGGACCAACATATAGAAAATACAGCGGGCACTGAGAAGAACGAAGGAATTCATGAAAAATACAAAATCGACTGGAACTCGAAAACGAATAATCCCAACGACGGACAGTTACTCGAAGCCTCGAGCGGGTTGTACAGGGTGCAACAGAGATACAATAATTCCTCTCCACCGTGTACGAGCAACGATCGAATGCGCTCGTTCAAATGATTCATCATCGACACCCGGAATCGCGACCGAATGTGCTCGTCGCTAAACAACCGAAGCCGTAACGCCACGCAAGGAACCAGAGCTCTGTAAACGCTTCCGTTCAGCCGATCGGTCACACCGTCGATCACGAGGCGCATCATCGAAAACACCGCGCGCTCGTCATCGACGTTACATAATAAAATACGATGTACAATAAGTCGAATATAGACGCCGCTCTTCGCTGTATAACGATGGATAAGAAAATAACAGAAAAGCGATCGACAGTTTTGCATGTTAAGCCGTCAGTTTAATCCCGGTTTCGTCGCCGCCGTCGTCGATAACTCCTCCGCGCTACATTGACCGTCGGCGAATCGTCGTCCACGTGGACGAGCGGCGTAACATCGTACTTATATACAAGAACAGGGAACGGTGTGTCGCGGACGCCTCCGATCAGCCAACAACGCGACGACGACGACGCGACGACAATACTGATTATTGGTGTTTTGGCAGCCGGATATTCGCCTCCGAGCGAATAACAATATCCCTCCGCGATCGATCTTTTCCAGTTTGCCTCGCCGTTCGCGTGCGGTTATACGTTTACGTTTCGCGTGTCTGTCCGTCTGTTCATCCGGACAAACGGAATTGATCGTTCAGCACCGACATAGGACCAAATTACTCGACGAAGACCCTTGGCCTTTAACGGCGTCGCCAGGCGGTTGGTGTCCGGGGGGATGATTCGTTTCTCGATCGTTCCCGGCGATCGTTCTCGACGACGATTCGCATCGTGTTCTTCCGTTACGAGGCACTTCGACGAAGCGGCCAGATGGTTCCCGCCGGCTTCGGGGAATCGCGACGGGAATCGTGCCCGTGCAGCACAGCGGCGCGCCAGCTCGTTCTTCTATCGATTGTTGCGGGACTGGATATGTCCCAGGTACTCAGCACGCGAAAATACTGCGGAAGCTGCGCGCACGGTGATCAGTCGAGGAACACGCGCGAGTGTAATCGCGCTATCATCTCGTGGGACAGCCGGCCTGGCTTCGTTCGGTCCAGTGATCCTTCGCTAGATGGGATTTGAAGTCTTGTCGGGAGTTACGTGGACGTAGACGGTGACGACGGGATCGGATCCGGCTGGTAGTACCTCATGCCGTTTATCTGTAATGAGCAATGATACCTTGCTTGGTTAATGACTCACTAGGCTGCTGCCTCTGCGAATTCTTCGGGGAAGTGAGGATTTGATTGGACGAACGATGGAATTGGAAGTTGTAACTGCTGTCGTTGATGGGATTACTGTGTTGTTACTGATTTGGTAGGGGAAGAAAAGAATTTTATGCTCATTTTGTGTTTATGTTTACCTTGTAGCTTAAGGATTGATGATAGACGAGTAAAATTTTGTTTATGCGAAGAAGAGATGGATAAGTGTTAGGTTTGTCGAATTGGGTTGATAACCTTTGGCACGAGTATGACTAGGTATTATGGGGTAAAGAATTAATTTTAATTTGAATTTTTCACTTGGTAAGAATTAAAATAACAATGTTACTGTTTCTTTTGGAAGCTTCTAGGTGTGAAATTTGAACGTGGTTGGTTTCTTTGAAATGTTTTTTGTCTGCGATCGAGGATTTTCTCGCGTGAAAGTGTAGAATTTGATGAAGGCAGTAAAGAATTTATACTCCTACTGAACTTTTGGTATTATTATCAGGAATATTTTTAAGAAATGTTTGAAATAACTTTGCTCCGATGTTTCGAAGTATTTAATATTTACTGACGCAACAAGAATAAAAATGAGAAAGCTCACGAAGAGATTTTCAGTGTTAAAATAGAAATTCTTCGTAAGATGCCTTTAGCTATTAATTATTAAAAGGAGTTTCTTTTCTGAGGGGTACACTGTTAGCAACAATTTATACAAACTCTGAAGCTTCTTTCTTAAGATAACGGAGAAAGAAAGTGAATCATGAATTCTTTGGAATGTTTAAAATCGTATTAGCTTGTTCTCCTTTTACTTCCAAGTTGTGGATGAAAGATATAGGCGAACGAAACGAATTCTGGACAAATAAGATATACGATACACTTTATGATTAAAGAAGATCTCAGCTGATTTGTCTGGTTATATTTTAACTCTTATCCATTAGTCTGATCTGCAACGATTTCTATTTTACTCGTTTACGACTTGATGTCACGCTTCAGATGATCAGAGTTTCCAAATTGCTCGAGAACAATTGCAATAAGAAAATTCATGTCGAATGTAAATATTTGGTAATGTAAGTAGCTAGAAAATAGAGTAACATAAGTACTCTGATACTAAATCGTTAATAATTATTTCTAATACCATTCGCCTTTGTTATAACAGAATAATTGCTGGTATACAAAACGCTGGAAATCCTCGTGGCAGTGATCGCGTTTATAAAAGAAACTGTTGACATTAGTGAAGAAACAATTGTTTCCATTTTGCACGGAAATACCTTCGGATGAGCCAGATATAAGAGAGCTATTCTAGTAGTATTCAATGTTCAATCGTTTCAGATGAACTTGTTTGCAGAATGTATGGAAACCTCACCGTCATGTCATATTCTGTGATATACGCTGGGATTTCTAGCTGTTCCGGCGACATCACTTCGTAGAGATATTCCACGCCCGGCAAACTGTGAACTTTCTGCTTGATTGCCGGGGCCATGAACGTTGTGAACCACCACGTCATCATCTGTAACAACGAACGAAGAAATTCGTTTCAAATAATTTATCGATTAACGCTGATCGTGTATTTTCGAAGTATTATTTAATTTTGTAATAAATCTACATATAAGTATATCATAAAGTCTTCTGTTTGCAGAAATGAAACTATCAAATTACACAATAAATATTATAAGCAATTATTATATGAGAATAAAAGTAATTATTAGATTCAAATCTAACTTAATCAGTTAATTTGATTACTTTTGTTATAATGTTCCTGTTTTAAATAATGAAAACTAATAAACTATTCTGCGAATGTTACGGGTAACCACTGAATATTAATTAATTGTTACATAATAATATAGTTAATTAGAACTCCTTTCAATCTTTCGATTTAACCAGAGATGCACGTGCTGCGTCAATATCGTAAGTTATTTATATCCGAGTTTACGAACAGGCAACTGAAAAAGTAATCGGGAGATTCGATAGGATCGCACGTGATGATTGTTCGCCCGCTACACAATATAAACGTGGGAAATGCAATGGAGGCGTTTAGTTGAAATGCTTCTGCGTCTTAAAATTGGACTTTATCGGCAATTGCATCGACTTCCGCGTCGAACGACCGGGAAGAATCTTTTACGATCTGAAATCTTTCCACCGTTTCGTTTCACGAACTCTCGAAACGAGTCGGATTCGTTTTCTTCCTCGTCATCGAACAATATCAAGTTTGAGCCTGAGAACTTAATACTTTAAAGGATAAAAATATTTCTCTTCCATTCGCGATATTAATAATTAACTCTTTATGTTAATTCATAGAAATATTCGGCACAGTGATGAATAAGCTTGGAGTCATATTTACGGAATTAATGAGTTTTTACATAACAACTCGCTCTTGGATTAATGAGTTTATGAGGAAAATCAGTTCACTGTCAAGTGTATTATTTACGTTTTTTTTATCTCCACGGATTGAGATTATAAAAAATAATTGTTATGTGAACGGAGCAAGGAAACGACCGTACCATGCAAAAATACACTCTTATCGGAAGGAGTTGTAAATATAAAATTAATTGACAAGACGGTTGCCTGAAAAGTGTATGTAGTCATTTGTGTTTCAGTCATTTCTTTTTATAATTAGTAATTTGATCGGAAGCAATTTGCTAGTCTATAAATAAGAATCATTAGTACTAACCTTGGTCCAGAAAGTTGGATGGATAATATAGAATTGTTTCAGGTTCTTCTTATATCTGTAAACAAGTCGATTATATAATGTACACACTGTCTAAAAAATAATAAATGGTCTTACAAATTTTCTCAAGAAAATAATAAATAATTCTTTAAACAGAATTTTAAGTATTCACTAGGTTTGATTTATAAATGAGAATGTTTGACGCTGACTTTCCCATTGAATAATATAATAATGCAGTCATAAATAAGATACATTTAATAGATCTACTAAAATTTAAAGAATCAGTTAATATTTTCCACACAAAGTAGCGATAAATTGAAAATTAAATCTTTTTCAGTGATTAACGCACTTGTTTATCAAGACAAAAAGTCATGATAAAACGTTGCTGTAGCTTGAACCACTGATGAATAAATCGCAGTTGTTGTTGCATCAGTTTTGTGTATCGGTAAATCTATGCTCTGAAGGCCGTGGGTTCGTATTACATATAAAATAGATAAATCAACGTCTCGATTGCTGTCTCTTATTGTAACAGTTTTTCTCTGCAGTAAAAGCAATTGCTGATACCAATCGGAGACAAGAAAATTAAAAGTTTTTCACTTGTTCTAAACCAAGAAATGTTGTTTTATGTGTTATTTTACCTTCACTCATATAATGCAGGTCTATCGAATCTCTAGTGAATATGTTTACATACAATATATGTTCTATTCTATTCTATTTTATCTAATAACATGAAATTCTATTATAGAATTGGACTAATACTGTGTCAAATAATTACCTAAAATAATTAACCGAATAAAATTTCGTTGACCGAACACTTCATTCAAATAATAATCATTCATCAATCAAACGAAATTATTCCATCTATTTGTTCCAATAATTCATCTTTACTCATTAGATTAATTGGCGTGAATAACGACGCACGTAACCTAGAACAGCTAATCATAGGCGGCCGATACTGGAGATACACGGGAATAATTATGCATCAACGATCAATTTAACGAAGTGCGTATAATTAAGGTTTCAGAATAAACGCGCAAAAAAGAAATTGATTGCATAAATCAATATGAAAAGAACTCCACAACAGTGAAAGAATTCAATTAAAATAAAAATGGTACTTTCTTATTTAGATAATTGTTTGCTCGACTTATTTATTAGCATCGAAGATAAATCGAATAAAAATGAAATTATCATTTACAATCATTATTTTCTGCCAATAAATCACACTAGTATCAGTCGTTTCTTCAGATCAACGTAATTATCAAATTACTGAATCAAGGTAAAACGTTTAATATTAAAATAGACATAATAATAAACATGCGACGAATATTACTTGTAAGGAAGCACGTTGTAAACTTCCCGCAACCAGTGTAAGCTGGGGTAGTTGCTGTTAGTCGTTAACGTATGGAAATAAGCAATAACGTAGTCGCCTTTGACAATCGGGTCCAGCAACTGTATGAGGTACAGCAGCGCCTGTAACAGAAATAGGAACGTTCTCGTTAGCAGGAGCATACTAACGGTAAGAATAACGTCATAATTAAACTTAAGGATGATTTAAATCCTGCATAGTACTATTGATTCATTCGTATTCAATAGCCATCGATTGTTTCACGTGTTTCAGGCTGCATTAACACGTTGACTGCCACGGTGGTCATCGATGACCGGAGCTTCGAAATTGCTTGAAAACAATTACAATTTGTCAGACAACTGACGTCGAATGACAATGTTCAATAGCGCACGTAAATAGATAATAAAATGTTTATCTTTGCTACAAAAGAAAAAAAGATACATAAAACTCTGAAGTTTTTCGTGGCAGTCAACGTGTTGAAAGTTCAGTAATGCTTCTTAGAAACATATCGTATAAAAGATACGATAAATTCATATCAACAATCGAATATTTATACGACTGACTAGGAAAAGTATTTCATTCCATTGACTGCAGCTAATTTCTTTTCGTTTGAGTCAGCTATGATTCACATCGCTGGATCTGCGATGACTGTACTCTATCTTATTTATCTGATCAGACACGAGCATTTTTGTACTTGTCTGACCTCGAATTAGCGACAGTGTGTTCGTCACTCATGAGCAGTCTCTAACTTACGATTTTGACCAGGGTCAACCCTATAACGTTTGTCTGACTGGTGTCAATAATGTAGCCTGCACTGAGCGTGTATCTCACTAGTCTTACTAGAGCTCGCCTAAATCATGTAGTTTTGACACTAAAATTACTAGACGGGTCAAAATCACCCATCCCTGATTTCTTTTTGCGATTATTAAAAAGATAACAGATGTTCCTCTGAGAAATGATTAAAGAAATTAAGTTAGCAATACGCGAACTGAGTGGTAAACCAATTAAAGTTTCAATAGATGCACTCTTGGAGTTTCTATAGGATTTCAACAAGTCAATTTAACTGCTCGGTAGTTTTAGTGTTAACACCATTCCTTCGACGGTCGAAATTTTCACTCAAAATTATTTCCCAAGTTTAGTCGTATATCCTGAATTGACTTTTCGACTCTTCCAATAACGATGATAGAATGAATTATAGGAAACGTCCAAAATACAATCGAGGAAAAATGGTTGAACTGAGGGTACAATTATAAGTTGAAATTTCAGAAGGTGCCCTTTGATACTCTCGGTAGAAACAGTGTTCGGTAGATATAGAAATTTGAGTGACGCACATACGCAGCCACACGCAGAGCTCTCATCGAATCGATATCGTCGCGGTCGAGTGAAAAGAACTTTCCTTTCTCCTTCGTTTTAACTTTGGTCCGTCTGGAGCCGCCCGTCTCACCAGCAACCTCCACCCCTCTCTCCTGATATTCGGTCCCCGACCTGATTTCACCGCAATTCCTCGACCTCCGACCTCCGGGGGTGAGGACCCGAGAGCTAATTCCAGTTGTAACGACCCGATCGATTGAAACGGAGTGACGAGCGCGCTTCGCTGACATTAAACACTTGTCCCCGTGAATGTCGCGCACTTGCTGTGACGTCGACTAGTTCCGCGAAACAATGAAACCCGGGGGTGGCTCGAGGAACGGTTGACACACGAGCGTGAATCAATAATAATTTTTCAACTTTTCAATAATTCAATTTCGAATCAGCGAGAGGTGATTCAATAAACTGGAAACAGTAATAGTTCCTTAATAATTAAGTATAGAATTAACAATTTTTCAATAATTTCAATAACTCACTCTAGAATTAGTAATAACTTTTTAATAATTCGGTTTAGAATCAATGATAATTTTTCAACTTTT